ACACACACACACACACACACACACACACACACACAATATTATGTAAATACTTGTACATATATAATTCTTTTAGACTTGGGATGAAGAACTAGCGAAGATTGCCCAAAGATGGGCCAATCAATGCATATTCGATTATGACGAGTGTAGAGATGTAGGTAAGTACCGATTTAATGTATATTATGTGTATAATATTAAAAATGTATTATTATGTTTATGATAATAAAATATATCGTTATAAATATATAATAAAGTATATAATAAAGTATATAGTAAAATTATAGTTCATTGATAAATGAAATTTAGACCGATAAAAGAATAAATTAATAAGAAAAAGAAGATCGACGTCTGTGCACAAAATGAGAGTGATCCTTTACAGTGTTTTAAAAGTTTTTATTACCATCATTAAATTAACCATCATTAAAATTAATATAATATAATCAATGTAATTTGTAATATTATTTTCAACTTCAGTTTATAATTGTGTTTCAAGTTCGAATCGGCGAACAGTTTATAGAAATAAAAAATGTATTTGCAAAATTTGCATATAAACATTATCACTGACATTTCTCTTATTTGGAAGAATTATGAAAAAAGAATTGATTTATCTGTTAACAAATAATGTATGCTATTACAGATAGATTTAGAGTTGGTCAGAACATAGCCCAGACATTCTCTTTGGATGTCGGACAAAATGATGCCACTCTGGAACGTCTGATCTTATTATGGTACAATGAAGTAAACAATTTTGATAATACTAAAGTTGAGAAATATGAGTAAGTAAAAAATAGCAGCACGTAAATTCATGGGCGTATCGTGGAATTTTTTCGGGGGAGGGGGAGTTTCTATCAATCCAGGGAAGTACCATGCGCTAACCGGAATGAGAACCAAAAAAAATAGGAGATTTTACTATTATACTGAAAAAAACGTCACTGCATCATTTTGTTGTTGTGACATTTACAACTTTTAATATTAATGAATTTTTTAGTCGAATTTAGTCGAATGGAATACTATGAGTGCATTCAGTACTACACCGTTCTGAGCAGTTCAGCATTCAGTGAGCTTTTGCATTTGATTGGTATATTCTGTTAGATCCAAAAATATAGATCAAACAGGTGTATAAAGTATCAGGTCAAAAGTATACATAGAATCATCAAATAGTGTAAAAGTTCACTAAGCGCTCAATGAGCGATTGTAGTACTGAATGTATCAATTACAGAGTATATTCTGTTTTTTGGGACAAAATTTTACAAAAATTTTCCCTATGTATCGCATATTTTGTCAAAGCTCAAACTAACAGAAGTATTAAAAATTACTGATATGGTCTTATAACAAGAAAAAAAAAATTTTATGTAATAGCGAAAAAGTCACACAAAGTCAAAAGTAAAGTTGTATATTTTTTACAATTAAAAATGAAAGAGGAATTCGATAGAGTATGTACATCGTTAATTGACCAATTCAAAATAAAATATTCTCATTAGTAAAGCAGTGAAAAATTATTAGACACCGACCGATGTGAGTGGATGTACTCGTATACTATTAGGATGTGCGCTAACGGACCCTCTCAAAATAACTGAAAGAAAAGATTGGCTGCTGCAGCAAATTAAAATATGACATAGTATTTTTAATTGGCTGTAACAGCTAACTTTTGGTTGCAGCAGCCAATTTTTGGTTGCGTTAATCTATCTGCAATGTCAGTACAGGATTTCGATAGGCTAACGCAACCAAAAATTAGCTGCTCCAGTGTATAAATAATTAATAAAAAATTTCGGGGTGGTTGAACTCCTAAATCCCCCCCCTCCCCCCGGGATACGCCCATGATGGGTATTAATTAAAATACTTCTGAAGGTTAACATTTTTTAAAACGTCTATAAAATAATCGAAATTCAAAAGGGCATGTAAGAGTCGAATATAAAATTTAATATAATGGCTAATCTAAGATACAAAATTTTGTATTATACTCTGTAAATTGTAATTAAAATCATATTACATGTTTTAACGTCTAGATTAAGCCATCTTCAGATATAAAAAAATTCACGCAATAGTGTTAGTAAAATGATGAAGATGATTTCACAATAATGTGAAAATATACAAGTGTTGTGTACATCAGCGCAAGCACAGTTCGCGGTTGCACTGTCGTTTCGTGCGTTTGTTAAACTTGTTATCGGGTGAAATAAATTTATACAGCACAGATAATTTCACTAGGTTATGTATTTATGGAACTGAATAATCATCACTAATATAATCCGTGATCGCGACTCGCACGATATTCGGTGTAACTCATACTCGTTAGCGCATCACACTTCTTCGCATATCTTATGCGCTTGCCGACGGTAACGCCTGGAGACATTCGCCCTGAACCGCGGTTATAGACGCCTGGGACAGACACCCTTTCGAAGGCAATGCCTAGGATAGTCGCCTGGAGGTGGCACACGACCGCACGACACACAACGAACTCGTCACTAATATCAGCCACGTCGTAACCTTTCGAAAATCGCGCGACGTGAATACGACTGCGGACGTCGAACGAATGAATCCCGGACGATCTTGCTCATCGAATATCGCGACTCGGTCCCCCTCCGGTTGTTATCGGAAAAACCCAAAATCAGTCACGATCGGCGATCTAAAGAGCCGCCGGTCTTCGCGGCGCCGACAACGATGAGAGCCGCCGGTCTTTGCGGCGCCGATAAGAGAGAATCTGTATCGCGGAACCTTTGACGACGCCGTAGATCCGAGATCGATAGACGCGGGCCTTAGATCATACAACACCGCGCCTCTTTGTTCTCACCGTTAACCTTTTTTTGGTTTTGGCGACGACACCGTATGCGCCGCGTGCCTCTGCGTGTATGTACCGACCCTTTCTATATTTGTTATGTCAAATTTCATATCTGAGCTCAGACGCTCACCAACAAGTATAAGATGAGGCCCGATGAATGTTTTATAGAAGAACCGAAATTGCTCGCAAACGGTTGAACGACCGATTGTTGGAAATTTCTTCATGTTCTAATAAATAAATTTATAAATTAGTTAAATTATTTAACAATAAAAGATTTAAGCAAGCAAAACGTTACCCTGATAAAAGACTCTCCGAGATATAGTTTATATAAGAATTATAAAATTTATTTATAGATATAATTCAAAAGCAGCCGACTATACCCAAATGGTCTGGGCTAAATCAACGGAAATTGGTTGTGGACTAATAAAATATATAAACCTAAGGGACGGGGCTAAGATAACCCTAATTTGCAATTACGGTCAAAGTGGAAATACGATTGGTCAGGAAGTGTATAAAGTTAAAAAGTAAATCCGATTGACGGATTAAAGATGTAATAAAAGAGTAGTGATATACGGAAGAAAATAGAAAAGCAAATAAAAAGTTACAATATATATATATGCCTTGTCAGTAGAAATAGACAATTACAATTGTCATTAATAAACGATATTAATAAAGAGCAAAATAATATTTTTTTTTCTTTCTCTCTCTCTCTCTCTCTTTCTCTCTTTTTTCTTTCTAATACATATATTTTGTAATATCAAATTCTTCTACAAGTTTTTCTTATCATATATGGCTTTCTAACATAAGACAAAAAATAACATTGGCTGCGTTCAGCGGAATGTTTATTTTGCAACTGTTGGAAGTTTTCTTCGCACTGAATGGATTATATTTTTAGATCTAAAAGAACGGTCTTATCTCAGCAGACAATCACAAAACAGTTGTAAAACTGTGTGGTCTACTGAATACAGCCAATGTATGGAATTTATGCTATTGTAATGTATCTAAATAAAATTAATATATGCAATGAATATATATAAAATATGAATTTTTTAATCTTTAAGAGTGGTTCTAGTCTAGATGTCCAAAATTTATGTATCTTTTACTAATTTTTTTCATAAGGAAAGGAAAAAGATATGAAAATAATACTTTTTGCATTATGTTTTTTATATTTCCACATACAAAAAAAAATTTTTTATTTTTAAAAATGTAAAAAATTGCAACTGTAGCCTACGAGTGCATCAGAGCGTGTTGATAAAATGAATAAGTCGAATCGATCGTCACACATCTGGGGATATCGATCATACAATTCGTCCATACAATTCAACCATACAAATAAAAGTTTTAAATTGCCAATAAGATTTTAAATATATTTATTTCTGTTGATCACAGCCTTGTCTCTTTTATTTCTTTAGATGTGATTTCGTCATTTACACATATATCTACATATGTTCCTAAATTATAATTTGCAATTGCAATTTTGGAAAAAATTGAATTTTATTAAAGATTATGTCTTTAAAAAAAACGAATTCACAAATATTAAATTGATTTTAAATTCTACTTGCTTTGCATTCAATAATAGATCAAACAAACTTCCGGAGCTTACATGAGTTCTTTTTTTTCTTCTATTGCTGCCAATTTTGTTTTATAAGCACTAATAGAATTGCAAGCTCTCAATACTCTATTATTTAATCCAACCTTTTATGTTAAATGTATAAACGACATAGCGTTTGCAGTTCATAACTTCCATTTTAAAAGAAACTTTTTTAGAAAAATTCAATTCTGTCCATTCTGGACGTTACTGTTAAGTTTGGAGATGAGGTTTAAAATTTTTTTTATTTAATCTTAATTAAGAGAAATGGCTATTTGATATTTGATTAATATCACAAATCGACATTCTCGAATTGTTTAAATTTTACTCTCAATGCTCCATTATTCATAAAAAAGAGCATTGATTGTAGGTTACATTAGATAATTTATAATATTTACTATACTGATTGATATTTTATTTTTATTATATTCTAAAATCCACAAAAAATTTTTCAATTTTATAATTAATATTTTATTAGATAATGGCTATTCTCTTAACTTCATATTTTCTATCATTAAAGAAGATTATTATTCAAATTTCACCGTCTTAATAATCTCAATAATGAATTTTTAAATATTTTCAATAATGAGAAAGCGAATTTATTATATTTTACTATAACTTATGTCGCCAAAATATGTTGCCTAAATTTTAATTATATTTCATTTTTTTATAACGGTACTAACTTAAAATGAGTTTTAATTAGTGTTGAAATTAATTAGAGTTGAAATTAATAATATAAACAGGTTTATCAAAGTACGTAAAAATACTTTACTCACTTTTTTTCACTCAAACGTCATCTACAAAATTAATGGTTACGATCGTTACAAATTTTATAAAACTCCCAGACAGCACAAAATACTAAAAAATAATGAAAAGAGATCTTTCTTAAATTGTCTTTTCGACAAAGCGAAAAAATGTCTGAAAGATGACAAAAAAACATCATTTTTAGATGTCTTTTGAGCAAGATGAAAAGATGTCTATAAGACATCTTTTAGTTTTGTACAATAGTTAAACTTAAAAAAGACATCTTTTCGTCATCTTTCTAGGTTGTCATTTTCGCAAAGCAAAAAGTCAACTAAAAGGTATCTTTTCGTGTTGCCGAAAAGACAATATGAAAAAGATATCTTTCCGTTATTTTGATACTTTTTATCACTCATACGCGAGCAGTACGCAGGATCGCCAAATAGACGTGGTGGAGTTCAATTTCTCGTGTTTGAAAATCATACAAGATAGAATAAAAGTTGCAGAAATTTTACTCGTGTTCTAATGAACACTAATAAAATATTTTTTTTAAATCGAGTCCCTCAAAGAGGGGACTATGATGAAAGATAATAGCTCTTGCACATATATAGGACACGGCAAACATTACAGGACCCAGAAATGGGATGTATATTGTCAGTCATGTAATTTCATTTCGTTGTGTAAAAATTAATATAAGAATTCGATGTTATTAAACGTTATATGCGCCAAAATATAAAAACTAAAAGAAGTCTTGAAGAGGACTAAAAGATATCCAAAGAAGTCATCTTTTAGTTATCATATGGATAAGGCTACAAGATAACTAGCAGTGCGGCAGTGCGACATCTGTTGTCTTTTAGTCATCTTTTCGTCGACTATATTCTTTCACTAAAAGATATCTTTATAACAATTTAGTCATCTTTCAGTCATCTTTTAGACGACTTTGTGCTCTCTGGGCTTCGTCTAAAACTTTCTTATAATTTTTACTGAAATAATACGAAACCTTAATAAAGAAATTTATCTTAACAAATGCTAATTATCAGAAATAATGTATACAAATCAAAATTACAGTTTAAAGTTACAAAGTGATAATGTACTCTGTAATAAAAAGTCGGTAAAAACTCTGAAATTATAATACATAGACGAGAACGTGATATTATGTTGAGTGTAGATGGTCCCTCTTAATATCTCCACCATTAAGTGGTAAATTCTGATGATTACTTATGGAATTATTTTTTCAGTAGCTCGTTGTTACACAATGATGCTAATATACTAATATACAATAACTAGCGTTTATTATAACGCATTTTTACTTTCAAACATTTCGAAACGTTTTTAAGATACATTTTAGCATTTAATTACATATATTTCCTTATTCTTTTTAAACTTGAGCATATTATCACAATGTGTGCGTATTTGAAGTTGTTACATTTTATTTGGTTGTATATATTTCGAATTTTGCAAAATTCGCAAAAAATTATGCAAAAAAACAATAACAAGACAGTTTGCCAATGTGACCACTTAAGCATGCCTAGATTGCTAACAGCCTCTTTTTTGAAGTTTTTATTATATAAGAAAATAATTATTCGACGGATTATAGCTCTACTGTTAATTCATAATTTATGTTACACACACACACACACACACACACACACACACACATGTAAGATAGTCGGATCAAACCGGATTCAATATGGGCGCGTGTAATCAAAATATTTTATTTTCTGCAGTTTGTAGGTAATTACACGATTAATTCAACAGATTGCGGTAGTACATTAAGACCCGTTTTCACAATATATAGTTACCTAAAGATTAAAGGTTACCAACAGATTTATCAATGAAATTCATTCATGAATTTCTTGGTTACCTTTAATCTTTAGGTAACCATATATTGTGAAATCGGGCCTATGAGTAGTATATCGTGCATTTTGTCCCTCTGATTCGATTGCATCAGTTTATTGCTCAATTTGTTCATTCTATTATTGTCAATAAAGCAAGGTGCATAATATCATGATCGTGATAATGTAACATTTCGTAGGTAAGTAATTATTTCCTATAGTTACCAAAAGGTAGTTAATAATTTCAGTAGTTCATCTTATTGTAGCTCTATATTCATACTTTATAATAAATACTATATTTAGTTTATATTTCTGTCTCAAAGTTTCGTTTATAATCAAAGGAAAGAGAAACTCTTTGCAAGGTAGAATTATTGTATTATATGTATTACTCAAGGTCAACTATAAACATACTAATAGCGTTTTCTCTTAGCTGCACTATCGCCCACTAGTGCAACATTCAGACAGTGTACCATGTTTCCATAGCTAATAGCGAACTCATTCGGTGTACCGTGTTTCCATGGCTACGGTGTAGTACAAATTTTATGCACGAAGTGGAATTTGCTACACCGTCTCAAAGGGACGGTGTAGAGCCAGTGACATTTAAAATTTGAAAATGGAAGTCAAGTGGGAACAGGATTTTAGCGCAATAATGAAGGTTAAGTGTGCACTACTCTAGTGCAATGTAGCTGAATGTAGCGCTTACACGCAATTGATGCAGTGCGAAACTGCACCCAGTGTATCTCAAGGAAAATACTGTGTGCCTTCCAACAAGCGACACAAATAACACGGGACACAATGGAGCATTACATCCTTATTGTTCACCAATGTTAAACAAAGATGACATGATCACTGTGTCGCACTGTGTCGCTTGTTGGAAGGCACACCCTATAAGTGTATACATATCGATGTAATGTTTTTTTGGAAAATATTTAACAGCGAAAATATCAAACGTAATAGTATTCTTAATAGATAAATATAGGAATAGACTATCCGTCGGGTTAGGAAATTTGCTGAATTAACATGTTCGTACAATCGTATAAAAACTTTCCATTATGTCTGCTATCTTTACTGTTAAATACACATGAAATAAAATTTGACCTTCTTTTGTCATATGAGTGTGAAAAGAGTTTTTTCCGACATATTTTTGAGTAATCAGTTGGTAAAAATTAGTTATTGTTACAATTTTGAGAAACATGGTAAGAGATTCACGTTTTGAGTCCCTTTAATGCCATTTTCTCAAAATTTTGGCGTGATAGCCAATTTTTATCAACGGATTCGTGTTCAATACGCAGAAATACGTTGCAAATAATAATAATAATTATTATAATTTACGCTCATGTGGCAAAATGGTTTTCGACAGCATTTTTATTCCATATTTTTAATAATATTAAAATATGTATCACACTAAATGCATTTGCTTTAAGCGCTCATTTTATCACTCTTCCGCATGTATAATGAGCAAACTCAACTACTGTATACTTGCGTGGCGTCATTCATGAGACAGGTCGATACACGTAGCGTAGAGACCTGTCTCATGAATGACGTCATGCAATTTCCTGATTTAAATTCGATTTTTTACATGTTTCCATTATGTGACATAATTTTAACCAACGCAAATTTTTTCGTATATATGAAATGCGGAATTTGAATTCGTGACTTATTATGAGTCTGTCGTTCTCACACAGAACCACACAACACACATCTCAATTTATATTATATTTAATCCAAATAAAAATTTTTATATTTGGAAAAAATAATAATATTGAAATAATTATTAAAGATTTCATTTATATAGCTTTAATATTATATCACTGTCGTAAGAAATATAGTAGCACGTTGCACGAAGTGGAGTAACATTGGATCAGAATAAATTTGAAAAAAAGCGACTGCCATATCTGCTCCCACGGATATCGCGATATTCATATCAATGTCTTGACGATCCGTAGGATGTTTCAGCTACCCGTCACCCAAGAATCTACAGCAAAGTATACGCACTTGTCAGACATGATCTTGAAAACTTTGAGAGACAAATTAAAGACTGTCGAATTATTTATAATCGATGAAGTATCGAATATTCGAATGTGACACTTATGTTTATCAATCTACGATTATGTGAAATCTTTGATACGACAGATACAGATGATGGTTTTTTTGGCAGAAAACAAATTCTTCTGTTTGGAGATTTGTTGCAGCTTCCCTCTGTTATTAGTTATACATATATTAAAAAATATTTGACAACAGATGTAGTTTGCACCAGATATAGTACGCTTTGGTTTACTGAAAAATATGTATATATGTATGTTGTCGGAACATGATTTTTTTCTAAAGTGAAATGTAATTTGTCAAAAAAATCTATTGATTATATCGATATATTACACTATGTGAATAATAAAAATTTATTATCTTATTCAAAGAACTTTGTGATATTTCAAAGAGTATCATCAAGAAAAAAATCTCTGTGTGAAAGATCGTGTTAAAATCGGAGAGATGAAGAAAATATGGTTGCGTTCTCACGAGAAGAGAGGCTCATTCATTATTTTTGGTATATTCATAGAATATTATAAATTCATTCTGTTGCAATTGAAATAAATATATAATGTATGGTAAATATTTATTATAATAATATAAACAGTTACATATATACTATTAAATAAAAT